GTTCACAAACTGTTAATTTGACAAATATATTGAGGAAGAGATAAAAATTAAAAATGGTACACATCATAAAATAAAGGCTCTGTATTTTTTTTTACATCACTTTTATCTACAATTCGTCAAGAAATATATATATATATATATATATATCAGAATCTAATGAGGTTAGTCTTACAGATCATCATCGCCTATGTGCAAAAGATTTAGTATTTCACCTAGCGCAATCCCTTGTTGTGCCAGAGGCACGTTCGTTTCTAAGATGTTTTTTCCTTGCTTCAGGACTAGTGGCTGATCACGTTTCGGTCCAAACCAACTTGGTAAACGGTTTAAAACATCTAACGGTGTACTCTTATGCATATCAAGACCATCCAAAATTATTAAAAAGTTGCTGCTGGTACGCACACGGACGCAGTCTGTGTCCGTTCCACAAATCACTTTTCGATTTGTTGAATTACATAATACGACTAAGGAAACGCATGAGGTCATTAAAACAACCAAACATAAGAATTTTAAACTTCGCAACATTTGTGATGACATTCCCTCCTTACTATATAAATACCTGTACTGGTAGAACTGTATACAATTATTAAAAAATCAGCGAATAACTGAAGCTTGATAGAATGTATTTTGAGATTGGAGATGTTAAATAAAATAAATAAGAATATAAACAAATATTTTGCCTGTGGAAATGTGTTTGTGATAACTTTGATAACGATAAAAAAAAAAGGAAGGAAAAGGCTCTTTTACTTAGAGACAAAAAAAAAAGAAAACAGGTTGAATTTTTTTGAATAGCCTTAACAAATACGCGGTTGATTACACCTCACAATTCTTGAAAACGTTTTTCCGCCAATTTTAAGATCTGCGTATTTTACAATTGTAGTAAGAGTCTAACGCAGTAGGTTGATATTGGGTCGCTGTGGCTTGTGGGAAAAATCAGGGTATCCCTCCTCCAGATCGATCAAGTCCGCTGTAGTTGACATCAGTTGAATCAGCTGCTTCGCTTTCTCTGACATTAAACTGCTCAACTCCTCTTCCGTTAACTGAAACTTCTGAGCGGCATCACTTTCTGCTTGACGAAAACGCGTGCGCTCTTCGTGCTGTCGCCATAACGGATACCACTTTGCCCCTAACGATTTATTTGAAGTCGAATTGTAAGGAGCTGGCGATCCAAGAAGGGAGTTCGTCCCCACCCCGGTGTCTTTCGGCTGTTGTTTCGCACGCCAAACGCGCAAAGCGCCCCGCTGGTACTGCTGCTGCATTGATGTGGGCCTCAGAACGGGCACCGACGAGATCAGCCGCTCGCACTCGTGCGAAGGCCCCGCGCGCGTCGGGGCGACGGTCTCTGCGTAATCCCAAGCCTCCTTTCCCCTATCACTAACCCGCCGCTGAGGACGACGATACGGGGTGAGAAGCGGAAGCGTCGCGTACGGGGGGCGGTCGAGATGCATCTCGAGCGCGTTGCTCGGGGGTTCCCCCCCGAGAATCCTCCTTCTCAAAGCGTTCGGACAGCCCGGGAGGGGCCATATCATCTCAAGATAGACCCGAATGACGGCAGCCGAGGTGCGAAGGGTACTCTCCACCCGCCACATCACCGCGGCGTGGGCGAGCTCGTGAAGGACGTGCCACACCATCGCGGTAAGGTAGCACAGGCCGTTCTGGGGCGGCACCGGGTAACACACCACCCCCTGTCGCATCTCATCGGCGCTGAGGAAGGTCTGCAGCTCCCCGAAGACGGATTCCACCACGTCCGCCTTGGACTTGTTATTCGGCAAGACCGACCTCATCAGCTCGTCAATGTTGAGGTAGTCATAGAGCGCAAGCAGGCCGCCGTTGGAGTCGAGCATTTGTTGGATCAGGGCTAACCGCTTGCTTATGCCGCCTTCCACGCTCGGGAAGAGCGCGCGCAGGCGATCGTAAAAGAAGGCTTTGATGAAATTGTCCCCTAACATTTCGCAGCGCTCAAAACGGTTGGAGCGCGAAAAGGCGCTATTCGAGAAATTGGGGATGCTGTCTCGCAAAATTCGCTTGCGTATCAGTAAACGCAGAAGGTATCGCAAGCGCCAGAGGCGCTGACGTGAGTTGCTTGAGCTCAGGGAAGGAATTCGATTAAAGTCAAAGGAACATGTTCCATTTGCATACTTCGGGTTGAGCATCCTCCACCAACGCTGAACTAAAAGCTCAATCCAATCGATACTTTTAAGTAAATCTAAATTATCTTTAAAATATTCGGGATTGGGAAGCGCATTACCATCCAAGGTATGTGTAAATAAAAGCGCTGAATATGATTCTACAGGGTTTGTCCCAAATCGTTTTGAGCTATAAGAACTCGTTTTCAGACTCAACAAATGCGTAAAATAGGTGTCAAGAAGCGCGATGGATCTCTCTAAAATCCCCAATCGTGCCTGATGCTCAACAGCGCTGGCATGCACAGTGTAGCTCCCACTTAACTTGAGATTACATAGCGTGCAACGATTTAGGGTGTGCTCATAAAATTCAATTTGAGCATTCTTCTTACAGTGGCTTGCTCTATCGACGAAATGTGTGGCCTCTTCTATAGACTTTGGCAATATGAGGGCGTGATTTAACATAGGATTGGCAAATTCCTCAGGGATAAAAGAACTTGGTATGGGCGACGGATAGTTCAACGGTTTGCCATTGAACTTTTGAAGATGTATACCAGATCTAAGTGAGATGCACCGAAGAGGTGAGTAAAAAATACGACCTACTGAACGCTGTGTAATACAGTTGCCCATCGCACGCCTTTGGAATGATTGGTGGCATAAATTTGTCATTTTACACTTTAGATCTTTTTACAGGAAAGTAAAGGTTCGTCGAGCCCCCCAGTTTACTTTGATTAAAGACACTGAAAGACAGTCTTCAAGGTTTCAGATTACAATAAGTAAACGTGAAAGCTCAGTTTGTCAAATACTTAAGCTCACCTCTTTGCTATACTCATATGCTAGTAAATGCAAGTCCAGGAAACCTATACGAGCAACACGAAAAAGCTTACGAAAAAAATTCGCGTTGCGGAGCTATGAAAAGCAGTAAACTAGGCCTAACATGAGCTACGATAAAATTTCAGAAATGAAACAATACTAGAAACAAAACAGGATTAAGACAAATCTCATAAAAGTATACATACAGTGAAAATAATTACAGATCGATTAATATTGGTCTTGAATTATATTTTAGTTTAGTTATAGACACTTTAGTGGTGTAATGAAATTTATTCGTATTTGGTTACAGAATAAAAGCCCTGTTGCCTTCCCGTGAAAGGAACTTGTGCTTAGCCATGGCCAAGCATACAGACAGGCTTAACCGAAAATGAGATGCGCTGGGATGTAACACAATTTCTTTTACTTCATTGTCGAATTATTATTCAGTTATTATTTTTTTCCATATGATAATGAATTTATCACCCTTTAATTCGCATAAAGGATTCACAACATGACATTATTATGGGGAAAATCTGTGCATAAACGCAGATGCCGTGGTGTTACTATCTAGCAAGATAGTCAGAGATTCTAACGTTAAGAATCCAAGAATATGATAAAATAAAAAAACGCCCCGAATTTGTTTGGATTCCCTTTTTTTCCCACATTATTTTATTACGCCAATTCATCTACCAGCACATTACGTACATTTTGTAGCAGATCACTCTCCGGCCGAACGTCGCGTAGATGAAATACGCGCTCCACTACAGTCAGCTCCGTAGCAGTTGTCGTGAGACCACAGAAAGCTACCCAGTCGTTGACTAATAAACCAGAACCTACCGCTGCATTACCACGATTTATAGTCCCGGCAACCACAGGAACCTGCAATAATGAAGATATCTCGTCCATATCCTCCGCGGGCGTCTTGGGGTGCACTAGACAGCCCTTGTTGGTAACTACCGCGTAGGTTCCCACTAGCGCATTCGAGGCGATGGAAGTTCGGAAGGTCTGAACCCCTAAAACATCTCGAATAACTTCCTCCGTTTCGCGGCTAAGGTCGGTGTGAATTAAAGCTACATGGTCATTACAAACAATACAATTACCTAATGCGGAAAGACGCTCCTCAACACGCTGGAGCTTGACGTTGTCCGGAAGCGAGTTGCGCAGGTGTTGGAGCTCCTGATCGGTGGTCAAGGATGGGACGACGAGGCCATTTCGGTTGCCAATCACTAAGCGACCGATAATACGAGATCCCCCAATAGAAGTATAGATCACAGGGATGTGCTTAGCAAGAACTTGCTCAAAAATAGAGTAAAAATTCTGTGAGGCACCAGTATCGACAAGGCAGTAGGCATTAGTTAGGCAGGCAAAGACCGCAATGTCATCGGAACTTTCATAGCGCGCACGATAGGTCATTTTATCGTGTTGTTTTGTTTTTGTATAAAATCGACGCCTAACTTATAGGAGCGGTTTTTGTAAAGGTATTGGGTTTTCTTTCTTTCCTTTTAGATAATTCACGAAATCACAAAAATGAACGATAAAAAGGTGTCTTAAATTTGTCATGCTTGATGTTTTCCAAATACACGATCAATTTTAACATTTACCATCTTTAACATAACCCTTTGTTTCTTTCAAAAACCATTCAATGTGGTTTATATAGAACGCAATCACACAAGAAATGTAAGAGGTAAACAGAGCAAATAAGAAAACCCCTTTCCAAAAATTAACTTCCGTCTGGTTCATTCAAGGCAGCAAAAGACATGATGCTGGGCGTTAGTTTAGTCTTCAAGTGTTTTCTACGTTCATGATCCACTCGCTCTGCCTCGTGGTAAAGCGCACTTTCGTTGTTGAACAACAAATCATATTCCCTATAAAATTGGTGATTCTTAACTTCCTCCACCTCCGTAACCTCTGGCAAGAAGTGCCGCATCACACGCTCAATCCCATCTTTGAGAGTGTTTTGCGATGAAGGGCAGTTTCGGCAGGCGCCCAGCATTGCAAGAGAAACGACCCCGGTTTTCTCATTGAACTCCAACAGCTTTACATCACCACCGTCGCGCTGCACCATCGGCCGAACTTGCCCCCGAAGCAGTTCTTTAATGCACTGAAGCACCTCCGAATCGTTCTCGTTGATAACCAAATCATCCTCGAAGAGGGCGTACTCCTTCACCGGTGCGACGCACTCACCCTTGAAGACTAGATAGTGCCCTATAAAACTGCTAATACTCCATTCTATTGAAGACCAGTCCACCCTGTCGTGTACAGTGATGGAGACGCTGCGAGGGATGATAAACACATTGACGACTTCCTGTGAGTACTGCTCAAAGAGGCCTTGTGAAAGGGGATGAACCCATGCCAGGCCCTGGTGCGGCACCTCGCAAGTGACCCCATTCGGGACGAAGTTTTCATACGTGTTTGATGGAATAGTGTAGGAAAAGCACAACGGATTTGGTGTAGGTTTCGGATGCAGCTGCATCATCCCGCGCAAAATATTCCGTTTCAGCATTTTTTCCAAACTTGTATCATAGAAGGTGTTTAAGGAAACGTTATCTACATATCCATATATGCAGGAAAAGCAATAAGAGTAACAATGGCTAAGTAGGGAAAAGCAAATTTAAGATAGCCCACTTTTAAAATGAATATTGCAGTGCCATTGGGAAACTTCTTCTTTATCAACATTGTTAGAGAGTATTCATTAACTTGATAGTAATAGGCCATGAGCCTATTCCCTCAATCTTTTTCGAATTTTAGTCTCTAGCTCTTCTTTAGTAAAGTAGTTCAGGGGTGCCATTTCAAGGACAAGGTCAACCGACTGGATGGCAGTGAGATGCATCATGAATCGCTTCGTTGTGCGGCGCAGCTGCGTAAAAACCACCAATGATGGGCGTTCCCTCAAAACGGGCGGGATCCTCGAGTCCGCGTCGGTGGCGTCAGAAACCCCTTTCTTCTGCAGTGCAGTGAAACTTTTATTTGCCAGGGACTTCGTCCCAGAACGAAACAAATAGCTGGTGGGGTGAATTTCTGTAGTGTATGCGTCGTCATCCAGACTGGCACCATAGGAAGATCCTCCAGTGTTGATAGGCCGCACAATGGTGTAGGTGCGCTTGTCTAACCCGATCTTTGAAACATTGAAGAAAAACCCAGAAAGAAGCGCCTTCGTGAGCAACTCTGTATTAATCAAACGGCTTCCTTGCCGAACCCCATCGATCGCACTGCTAGACTCAGAAATTTTGGAAGGGTGATGGGAGTCATCCAGATCATCCTCCTTGAGGTCGAGCCCAACGTGGTTGTAGATCTTCAAGATTTGATCCAGTACATCCCGTGCGCGAAGTAAGGAACGAGGGTGGATCCCGTGGACGCGGCAGAACTCCACCGCCCGTGGACCAGCCCGCAGCCACTCATCCATCATCCGTACATAACCCGCAATATCACCGTTCCCAAAGGCAAAAAGTTCCTCCTTCGCGCTGTCAATTAACTGCCGCTCGTGAGGATCGCGAGGGGCGAGAAAGATGGAGTCTATCGAGAGCATAGCGGCGGCCATGGACATATGCCGCCCACAGCCCAATTTGCAGGCCAGGATGAGTGATTTACTCAGCGATGGATCCAGCGGGAACTCGGACATTCTCCGACCTGTCATGGTAAGTCGCCCATCTGGCTTCATCGCGCCGAGGAGGTAGAGATGATCGAGGGCCCGTTCCAACGACTTCGTCGACGGCGGATCCACAAAGTCGAACTGGAGTAAATTGTCAATCCCGATCGCCTTCAGATGCAGCACCACCGAGCTCATCGAGCATCGCATAATCTCGGGAACCGTCTCCTCGGGGAACTCGTTTTTAAACGTATAAGGGGTGTAAAGACGAAAACATTCCCCGCGCTTCGTTCGCCCGGCACGCCCGGTACGCTGCTTTGCGCTCGCCTGGGATGTCGGCACCACGCGAAGCTCCTCCACCATCGCGCGCACGTTGTAGTAGTCCTGCTTGCACAAACCACAATCCACCACGTAGACAATCCCGTCAATGGTGATGGAAGTTTCAGCGATGTTGGTGGCGATAACAACCTTGCGAGCCCCCGGTGGGGTCGGCGTGTAAATTCGTGCCTGCTCCTTCGGTGGCATTGCTGAGTAAATTGGCAAAATTAGAAGCGTTCGTATCGTTCCCTGGGATTCTACTACCTGCTGACGAAGGATCTCCGCGCAGCTTTCAATGGCGTCCTGTCCGGGTAGAAAGACAAGTATATCTCCCGGTAGTGGCTTTGTCAGGTGCAGACTCATGACAGCTTTCGCGGACTCACTAACGTAATCAGTGATGGGTTCGTCGATGTAAAAGACATCTACTGAAAAGGCGCGTCCTTTAACGTTTAGAATCGGTGCATGGTCGAAGAAACTGCTGAACTTTTCCGCGTTGATTGTGGCACTAGCCACAATCACCCGGATACGAGAATTTCGACGAACGACATCTCTCAGCAACCCTAAAAGAATATCGGTACTAAGCGAGCGCTCGTGCGCCTCATCGATCATGATAGCCGCGACGGACTCCAAGTTCGGGTCCTTGCTGAATTCATTCAACATCATCCCATCCGTCACGAAGAGAATCCGCGTGAGGGAGCTGGAGCGGTCGTCAAAGCGCACGCGATAGCCGACGATGCTACCGCAGGATGCACCCACCTCCCGCGCGACGCGCTCCGCGACGCTCATGGCCGCGATACGCCGCGGTTGAGTGCAAATTAACCGCCGCTCCTCCTCCTCCACCTCCTCCTTCCCGCGAGCTTCAGGATCAGCCCGCGCGGGCCCCCCACTGTCAGTTGTTTCCTTTCGTTGAGAGAGGTGGAAACCTTCCTCGTAGAGATACTGGAGTAGCTGGGTACTCTTGCCAGACCCCGTTTCCCCGACCAACACGATCACCTGGTGATCTTTAATAAGTTGGAGTAATTCGGCCCGAACGCCGTAGATCGGCAGCGCACAACGCTGAGCCTGGAGTTGTTCGTGACTCTTTTGAAGGCTGACAATTCGATCTTTTTCAAGATCTGTATTGCTTTTTTCCGGAACATATTCATGATTCTTCACACAACGCTCGATGGTTTCGCTATCCATAGCCACAAATCCAGCGGTGGCCGCGTCCAGCCCGGCCCCACTTTCCATAGCCCGAGCGGAAGGCGGCAGAACCTCGTCCGAAATGCCTAAACGGTCGCCAAAGCTGTGGTCTTCGGATACGTCTGGCAAATCCGTCGTACTCCGCACCGCCGTGTTATCCGCCATCGCATGGCGGTGCATGGCGGTCTGAAGCAGCCCCTGCGCCGAGCTCACTTTTTCGGCCATTTTCAGCAGGAAATCCGCTTCAACCAGGGACTGTGGTACCACACCCTGCTCAATATCTTTGATCTTTTCCTCCAGAACGGCCGAAGAGGTCTTGTTTTGCAGCATCGACTGCTTTTTTAGAAAGGCTGTCCTGGAGGCCTGCTGAGCCTTCTTGAGCGCATCCCTATCCATTTGCCCTTTTTATGGGAAAGCTAGAGATGTGTATTACCAAGGAAATCGAAGAGCACACAAAAAGGCACGACCTCGATGGGTTTGCTTATAACTTCAGACCACATAAAATTAAATATTCACCCCCCCAAAAAAAAAATTAAAAAAAATATCAAGAGGAGACTGAAATTGAAACCAATGGTTAGCTAGAAGAAAGATGCATATTTTCACACTTCAAAGGGGCAAACCCTTTTGTACAAATACAGTGCTTCTGTCATTAATCCTATTATCATTTTTTTTTTTGAATATACAATTCTTTTTACAAAAGAAGTCTGTTTAACTCATCATCTAAATTAATAGTGTGATCACCATCCATTGTCTGACTGATAACTAATGTTGAAGTTTCTGTGGATTCTTCGTGTGAAGTGGAGGATGTAAGAAATAAGCTAGGTATTGGGGGGCCATATTGTTGGCCTTCATGCTTGGGCGAAGACGCAGTTTTAACTTTTGCATTTGGTCGCGGCACCGAGTGTAGTTTTACCAGATTCATTTGCTCATCTTGTAATGGATTTGTGTTGCTGTAATACACGCAACAATTGCGGTCGGCAGTCCCATCGGATTTTTTTTTCCCCTTTACCGAGCGTGATTTGGGAAAAGATGTGGCAAGCCATTCGCGGACTAACCGCCTGTCTTCCTCATCGGAGTCACTCTCAGATGAAGTGCAGTGGGAAAGGATAAAAGGGTGCTGAAGAAGCTTCGCACAGGTCGGGCGCTCTTCCGGATTCTTGGCCACGCAGGATGTAATGAAGTCCGCAAGCGAGGACCCCATTTCAGGGGGCAATTCGAGGGCGGCTTCATCGCTGTTGAGGTGCTGAAGGAGGGTCCAAAAGCGCGCCTCGATGCTACCACCGTGAAGGTGTGCATATGGGCACGTCCCCAAGGCCAGCTCCGCGACCACCAACCCGAGAGACCAAATATCTGCGCCGTAGGAATACGGCTCCCCTTTCAGCCGCTCGGGGCTCATATAAGTCACCGTCCCCACAAAACTACTCGCGTCCCCCCGCGTGCACTCGAGATTGGAACTGAGGCCAAAGTCGGATATCTTTATCGCCCCGGTTGTGCGGTTAAAAAGAACGTTGCTGGGCTTGAGGTCGCGGTGGATGAGGTGGCGGGTGCGGTGGAGGTAGGCGAGGCCGTGCAAAACGCTTTTGGTGATGTGCGCCAGTACCGAATCCGGAACCGGTTTTCTTATTTGACCTAAAGACCCATCCAGACACTCCATCGCAATAAAGACTGACCCTTCGTAGGAAAAGGCGTTGCAGAAATCCACTAACTGGCTACAAGACGGATGGCCACCGGAGTACAACGCCTCGAGCTCACACCGTATTTCGCTCAAATGTTCCTGTCGAGTAACTTTGATTTCTTTTAACGCGAGTACGACACCCGTGCGGCGGTTAATCGCGCGATGCACCGTTCCACTACTTCCCCGACCTAGAAATCCTCCTTTGTCGTCCGAAATAATAACCAGATCCATAAGCGATAGGGCTTGTTGTGGAAAAGAAGAGCTACCATTCATTGCACTACTGACGCCCACAGACGTCCTTAAGCCTTGGGATGAAACCAGTAAAGATCCCAAGCGCACCCCTTCATCACACAAAATATCTTCATGATCGAGTTTATCGTCACGCACTAAATCGTCAATGTTAAGTTTAAGCCTATGTATTTTGTCACCCATTGGTATGAACGACAGGCTTATGGGATATTTTTATTTCCCAATTTTTTTGTGTGGGAATCGGAAAACAGCTGCCTCACCTTTTCTTCCAATTCTATATAGGTTTGTGTGTTGCTGCAAAGAAAAAAAGAATAATGTGACTCAGTTTTCTATTAAACTTAGTTGATTCTTTAATTTAAATCAGTAAATCAAGAAGCAAGGTAATAAAATAAAAAACTAAACGTAGCCAAGTAAAAGTTATGGAAAAGGGGAACCTTTTCTGAGCTTTTAAAATATGTTTCAAAAACACCCTTGTGTGACGTGAAGAGTGCAACCCTGAGGATTGCGCGTAATATATACTACTGTAAAAACAAAAGAAAACTCAATAGTAACTCTGTGAAAATTTACACTAGTGCCTTCAAAACATCAATAAAACCTTTTTTGATGTTTTAAAGCTATCTATGAAAAAAAATATAGATATATAGATAGATACACATAAATTTACTTCTTCATATGAATCAAATGAAGTCAAAACAACAACAATTTATCGTAGAATAAATTGATATCCAAAGACTAAGTCTCCTATACAAAAATTTCTCCGAAATCTAGTATACAACTGAATATATATTGAAGTTGCTCTAGAGACATTCTATCAATCTATACAACCTTGCTTCTTCTTCCAACGGAATGGGATCTTCCTCTATATGAGCAAAAAATAACGGGGTTACAGTATAGGGAAAGGTATTCAAAAATAATTTACATCACTCGAACTAGTAGAAGCATTCATTGCAATGTAACTATTATTGGGTTTACTTTGAGGACTTACAAAATTCGACCACTAAACTACCACACTCCACACCGTTGAGCATGACGGGAAGCTTGAGAACGATCGAGCGCTTTGTCGGGGAGAACACATCAAATACCTTTACGGAGGCCTCACCAATGGAGTCCTTCTCAAAATCGCCTCGAATAGCTTGCACTTCAAAGCAAATCGTCCGTCTAGGGTCAACCGTGGTAATGAAGGCTGCGTCCTCAGAGCTCCATCGCATCCTAAGATTACTACGAGCTTCCGGCACCGTGAAGACGAGTTGCCCATCGATCCACACCAACACGCGCGTTCTATAATCTGCAAGTTCCTCAAGAATATCATCCTCCCTGATTTCCTTGAAGCGATATCCCTCCTTGATGTAAATGTATAAGCTTACTGAAGAGGATGGCTGTGCATTCAGGACCTCAGAAGACAGCTTCAGAGGCTCGGTTGCTTCAGTTTCGACGATTGGGACCTCAGGGTCTGCCTCAAGAGGGACGCTATTCATTTTCGAGATACGGGAAAGACTTACATGATCAGCTACAGAATTCGGAGAGGCCGTGCTATCCGATGAAACGCGGGATATTTCATGATACGAAGCTGTTTTGCTGGATCCTGGTGATAACGACATCGCAGCCTTCGCGGGTTGTGTCGTCTCTTCCTTTGTTTTTTTCGCTTCTGCTGTGGTCTTGGGATTTGTGGAATCGGAAATGGGGCCTTTCACCAGAGGGATACTAGCCATAGAAAGACGACCGGCGCTTTGAGCCCTATGGATCTCGACCTCGAAGCAGATCTCGCCTACAACTTGTAGCTCCTTCGATGGATCGAAAAGCTTCATTGTGTACAAAGAAGTGAACTGCCCGTCCTCCACTGTGGACGGGGAAGGTGGCCGACTACTTTTAGAAACGTTGGAGAGCAAAGCGTTCACCGGCACGGACGTTCGCCCGAACAGAACGGAATTAGTCGTGATATCGGCGCTCTTCGCGATCCACACCTCCAGCTCGAGCCGACCGAAGGTATCATGTGTGACTCGAAAACGGGCATTGTTTAAAGGACTGCCACTAAACATGGGGAATGCTGTGTTTGCCATCTCTGGAGGCGTTTGGAACAAGACGTTTCGCCCAAAAGGCCCACAGACGACAACATAGAGTCTTGAATTGAAATCTTTGTCAAAATCTCGCGGGTAGGTGAGATCAGCGCACGAAAGAATGCGAATACATACTGTAAAGATTTCATCCTCTGCTACCGCATCGTCGCCGGTCTTCAGTTGACCGAGAGCGTTCGCGGGCTGACAAAAACCTTCATAATTGTCAAGTAACCGATTAAGTGCTGCAATCATTCGCTGAAGCCCCCCCGTAGCATTTGTTTCTTGGCGAACAGTCTCACACGACCCCAACGATTGAGGAACATCGGACTCCTCGGCATCAATGGTCTCCGGGATCCTCTTTTGAGATTCCTGAGCTTTACTTAGAAGCTTCTTTAGGTTTGAAATGATTTCATTCTTTTCATTGGATTCTTTCTGAAGTATCTCTCTCTCCATCTGCAATGCTTCTACGCGATCTAAACTGCTTTCATCCCCATGCACCTGACGTAACGTCTTCGTCTTGAGTCTTTCCTTAATAAGATGGCATGGATCATGGCGTTGAAAGGCATAAGAGAAACTACTGAGAGTAGCATTCTGCTCCATTACAGTCTTTCCCATCGCCTCAAGCTCAGATCGGAGTCTATTCACAACACCATAGAGTGAGTGTTGCTGTTTTTTATAGCCTATGATACTTCCCTTCAGCTCATCGTTTTCCTTTTGGAGTCGAGTAAGCGCGCGCTCCGCGGCGGATGCCCGAAGGACGTGGCACGTCTCCTGGACCCCGGAGTGCCGCATGCAGGCCGGGTGTTGGTTCGTGTCAAGGGGGTGCGATGGTGTGGGTTGGCACTGGTGAGGGGCTTCTGTGTGAGAATAGCCCCCCCCCAGACCTCGCGGTTACACCCTAGCGGATCCTTCCCACTTGAGGAGGCTAAATGGGCTCTTGCACTGCCCTCTTGGAGCCCCGTAGGATTAGGAGAGGGGGTCGTTGCACTAGGAAGGGGACAGGTGCTGTACACCCCAGGTGGGATCACCACTTGAAGTGGCTTACCTTCCCAGGCACTACGAGAAAAGACTGCCGCGGATGCTGCTCGCATGGTGGAATCAATAATCAAGCGTTTAGAGGACTCCCAAGCAAGAAAAAGGATGTTTGGTGTAAATATATATATATATATATATATATATATAT